TTCAAAAGGCAAAAAAAAAAGGTTCCCAAACACAATTTTTCCACAAAGAAAAAAATGTTTGCCTAAAAATAGTTTTTTTCAGACTAAAGGCAATTTTTTTATAAGTCTGGTAGACACTTTTTTCTTGATATCAAAGTTTTTTTTTTATCTATGAAACTATTTTTATACTAAAAAATAATTTTTGGGAATGAAAATTAAAAAAAGAAGAGATAGCGCACTAAAATTGTTGAATATAGATAGATATAAAAAAAAACAATTTGTTTTTTTTTTAGTTTATTATTTTTAATGTTACGTAAAAAAGTTATTTGTTTTTGTTATCTATGACCTTATAATAATTATATTCAACAATTTCATTGAGCTTGAGGCCATTTTTAATGAAAATTTTTGAAAAAAAACACAATTTACATTTTCGTGGAAGTTACGCTTTTATATATATATATAGCTGCTTTTTCGGAGATCACCACATCTCTATATCAGATTTCTTTAACTGGGATTCGATCCAACGACCCCAGCCTTTATAGCCAGAACTACCCACTACCAGTATACCATTGAGCTAAGTTAGCCACGTGAACTGTTGTTGCTTTTTCCACCTTTTTCCATTTGTTAAGCCAACTGCAACCAAGCGCTGCTATTCTGCTGCTATTTACACTTGATCATGTGGTTGGTGTTTTTTTCAAAAAAATTTTCATTAAAAACTACTCTTTAACCTGAAATTTTTGACTATAAAAATTTAAAAAAATAATTCTTTTAATATATTAATTTAGAGAATAAAAAAGTGAAATAAATATTATTTCCCGAAATAAATAGCTTTCTTTGACAAGATTTTTCTTCCCAAAATTCTTTGTTTCTAATGTTTAGTACATTTTTGTCTAATTCGGGGTTTTTTCTAAAACAATTTTTTTGCTAAACCATTTTTTCCCGAAAAAAATATTTATATTTTTTAAAATTCTTAAAAGGCTATTTTTTCTAAGGCATACAAATTTTGCAAAAAAACACACAGCGAACACTGAATGCCGCTATTGGCACCCACACAACCAAATACCCATACACCACCTATACGCCGACATGCCAGCCAACTTACGTATTTAGTTGCCACCTCGAATGCTGGCAAACACGCTCGGTTGGCAGTCAGCTGAGCGTCAAGTGATTTATGGCTGCCAAATGAACTTCGACATTGACAAAATAAATTCCATCAGCGCAGTGCAGCAAAGAAACAGTAAAAAAAAAAAATAAATCGAAAAAAGAAAGAAATGAAAACGAATTGAATATTGGAGTAAAAGAAGAAGAAGAAGAAAGAAATAACAAAAGGATCAAGACAAATTCTGAAATGAAGCTCGAAATGCGGGCGCAATAACAAACTCATAACACCACAGCAGCGTTCACACAGCAGTTAAAAGCGAATGAGTAAAAGCTAAGTAGCTCGTAAGCTTTTGGCTTAACAAGCGATGCGCTTTTGAACGCCCTCGCGATTGTTGCAACTATTCAAAAATTGCTGAATTCTACTCGCTTGTCCGGCAGTCAGTCAGTCAGTCAGTCAGTTAAGACAGCCAGGCAGTCAAATATAAGCAGACGCTTGACCATATTGCGCCTTGATTTTTTACGAACAGCTCATCAAATTGATGTGCATCAAAAGGCACACACACATGCACCTACAATACATACTCGCCCATATCTAATTGTTCATCCGGATAATCACATCAGCAAGCGAAAAGTGCCAATCACAAAAGATTTACAGCATTGCGCTGTGGCTGTGGCTGTGGCGGCGACGGTGGCGGCGGCTGCTGCGGTTATTTGTTTCTTGATCCTTGATCTGTCTGCATTGGGGATTTTTTGTTGTTTTGCACAAACTTTGCCATTTTTATGTATTTGGAGTTTTGTTTAAGTTCAATGTATTTTTTGTTTCTTCTTTCGTTTTTTTTTTTGTCATGCCGCATCATGCTGCAATCGTATCATATCGTCCACTCGCGCT